CACTGCTGGTGGGAATGCAGACTGGTGCAGCCACTGTGGAAAACAGTATGGAGTTTCCTCAAAAAACTAAAAATGGAACTCCTGTTTGACCCAGTGATCCCACTTCTAGGAATATATCCCAAGAAACCAGAAACATCAATCAGAAAGGATATATGCACCACTGTGTTCATAGCAGCACAATTTACAATACCTAAGATTTGGAAACAGCCTAAGTGCCCATCAACACATGAGTGGATTAAAAAATGGTGGTACATCTACACAATGGAATACTATTCTGCTGTAAAAAAGAAAGAACTCTTACCATTTGCAACAGCATGGATGGACCTGGAGAGCATTATGCTAAGTGAAATAAGCCAGTTGGAGAAAGATAAATATCACATGATCTCACTCATTTATGGAATATAATGAGCAACATAAACTGACGAACAAAAATAGATACAGAGACATAGAAGCATTGAACAGACCATCAAACCTCAGAGGGAAGGCAGGGAAGGGAGAGGGCCGGGATAAGAGACCAACCAAAGGACTTGTATGCATGCATATAAGCAGAATCCATGGACACAGATAGTAGGGGGTTGAGGGCATATGCTGGGGGGTGGGAGTGGCCAGGGAGAGGTCAATGGTGGAAAAAGGAGACATTGGTAATACTTTCAACAATAAAGAATTAAAAAAAATTTTTTTGAAGAAAAAAAAAGGTGGAAACATGCAATGCCTAGTGTTGAGCAGAGAAGCCCTGAGGATGGAGTTGGGAAAACTAGACAAAACAAAAGGGTTTTCTTTTTGAAATGGCTTCTTTGCACTTCAGGCTGTAGGCAGGGTATTGAAGAATTCAAGTATGGAAGAAAACACTTGGTAGACCCTGGGAGCTGAATTTTACTGTTTTGTCTTCTAGAAATAAAATGATTTTTTTTCTTTCTCTATTAAAGAGTTTCAAAAAACATGTTTTATATTATCAAAGCTATACATGCTCATTATAAGAAAGTTGACAAATACAGAAAAGTAGGAGGAAAAGGAAAAATTCATTTAGTTCCAGCACCTAGAGATGGCCACTATTAATATTTTGCATAATTCTTTCTAGCCTTTTTTTCATGAATATCTCCCCATTTCCATTAATTGTGATTATATTTTGTATTAAATGTTGTATCCTACTTTCAATTAATATTAGACATAAGCATTTTCTTGTCATTATGAACTATGTGTAAACACAGTAGTCCCCATTATCTGCCAATTTGCATTCTATGATATCAGTTACCTGAGGTCAATTGCAGTTGGAAAATATTAAATGGAAAATTCCAATAATAAACAATTCATAAGTTTTAAATTGTGTGCCATTCTGAGTAGTGTGATGAAATCTCATGCTGTCCTGCTCCAATCCATCCAGGATGTGAATCATCCCTTTGTTTAGTGTATCCATACTGTAAATACTATCTGGCCATTATTAATGTCTGGCTGTCTAGATTATCAGATCAACTGTCATAGTACTGCAGTGCTTGTGTTCAAGTAACCCTTATTGTACTTAATAATGGCCACAATATGCAAGAGTAGTGATGCTGGCAATTTAAATATACCAAAGAGAAGCCATAAAGTGCTTCCTTTAAATGAAAAGGTATGTATAGGAAAACAAATCATAGTATATATAGGGTTCAGTACTATTTGTGGTTTCAGGCATCCCCTGGGTACATTGGAATATATCTCTCATGGACAAGGAGGGACTACTGTGCCAGTTTTACTGGCTATATAATATTCTGGGTCCCGTGGTGTGCCCCAGACTCTGACAGGAGGAAGATTTTCAAACCTTTGCCAATCTCATTATTATTCTAATTCGCTCTTCTTTTATTATGCTGAGTTGAATGTACCAGTTGTGTCCCTGTGTGAATTTAGTCTTATGTCCTTTGCTCAAAATGTTTCTATTTTAGACGGACATTTTTCTTTGCCATAAAAGACGGAAAGTCAAATGATCAGAATGGTATCATATTTTATTTCCCCACATTATATGGTCTACTCTAGGGTCTTCATCTTCCTAAAAGAACACGACAAAAGTTTGATAACTTTTGGCTCAGTTGAGTGGCAGAGGCAGGTAATTTATCATCTGAGAGAGTGATCACAGATGGAAGTGAGAGCGGGGTCAGGTCTAGTCTGAGACCCCTATCTTTAGTCCTCAAGAGCCCTTTCCTAACCCGGGAGGACATCCGTCCAGTGCTTTAAGGCTTTGGCTCCAAGAGCTCTCCTTGGAGTGGCGCGATCCCCCACTAAGGAGCCCGGAGCCCTGTGCGGCCCCTTTAAGAGTCCAGCTCCTCCCCGCTCCAGGGAAAGTTGCAGCTTTTTCCGCCTCCCAGGAGGGTGAGAAGGGCCGGCCGCCTGAGGGAGATTGCAGTCTTCCCGGAGCTGTAGACCCTGTCCTGAATCGGACACTGGGACGTCTCGCCCTCTCGTGGCACCTGTTGCAGGTGACAGGTAGGTCCACGGCCAGAGGCCGCCACTTCGCCGGGCCCCCACTCCTCCCGGGCCCCCAACCCCTTTTCGCTGCGCCCCCACCCCCATCTCAGGGACCTGCGCCCTTCCCAGTCTTTCCTGTCCCTTCCCCTGCCTGCCTCTCTGGACCGCAAGCCCCAAGCCTTCACTCCTGTCTGCTTGGGGTGATCCCTCCCCGCCAGTTGGCTTTCTCCCGGGCCCCTTCCTTTCCCGGCCGTCGCTAAGGCGGGCTGTGCCCCTCTGTGTACCCTGTCTCGCCTCGCGCCGAGTGGCTGGCTTTTCCCGCCTGCGGGAGCTGGGGCACGTCTCTGGGGCGGGGGTGGGGCCGAGTTCCTAGCGGGAGCTGCGCCCTCGGAGGCGTCGAGTCACCTTTCGCTGGGTCCTCTGGCAGCACCCAGCCTTTCCGCGTGGTCTCAGCCCCGCGCTTCTTCCGGACGGGCCGGGCCGGGCCGACGTCTGGTAGCGTCTGCTTCCCAAGCCGGCCGGCCGCAGGTAAAGGCTGCTGGCCCCAGTCCTGCCTGAGTGGGCTTCCCCAGTGCTTGGGGCCCCGGGACGCAGCTGTGAGCTCTGGAGCTGAACTGCTTTTTCTCGCCACCCTTCAAGCAGGCTTCAAGGATTTGCTCCTGGAGGAGGGTCCCCAGAAGCCCCAGAAAAGGCACAGAACACTTTTGTCTTCTGTGATGGTTTGTAAAGGGGTAGATGAACGCCTTCAGCCCTTAATGTAGAGTGAAATGGTTGATTTTTTGGTGGGGAAATCATTTGGTTAGAACAAGTGATTGAACAAGTGATCTGTTTCTCATTAACCTCTTCTTCCCCCAGTACCCTGCTTCTTCAGAACCAGAGGACCTAGCATTCCAGAATACAGCCTTTACCAGGGTTGGCCCTAGACCTTGAACATTTGTGGCAGAAATTAGTCTTCAGTACATCCTAGACCTCCTAGTTTTAATTGGCTTCTTTTCTGCTTTTTCAGGTTCCCACCTCCACCCTTCAATAAGTCCATTAATATTGCGGTATTATTGACCTAATGTGTTTACCCGCTGGTTTGTGGAGAGAACAATGTCTGATGCAAAGAACTGGGGCCCTGAGGAAGTATTTGTTGTAATTGTAGTTGACTTTTTTTTTTTTTTGCATCTGCTGGAATTCCTAGTAGGAAAAGACCACCAACTTGGTGTTCGAGACTTTTCCTGGCAGGGGGTGAACATTTCTGGTAACACAGCTTCCAGGTAATAGCTCTAGGTCAGAGTATGTTGAGGGATAATTGGTCTATGAGCATATGTAACATTCTGGATGATACTCTCTGAGCTTTCCCCCTTAAAGGCTGCTACTAATAATGATTGTTAGAATCCACTGAGCCAGGCACTTTGATAAGTTCTTGACATAATTATCTCATATAATCCTCATAACTCTATGCAGTAGGCACTACAATTATAACTGTGTTGTGATGAAAAGGAGACTTAAAGGTTAAGTGCCTTGCCCCAAGTCACCCAATAGATGAGGGGCAGAGCTGGGTCATCTGACTGAACTGCTGTGTTCCTATCCCCAGTCACACCACCTCTGCTGTATTAGATGTTAGAAACACCAAATAGCTCACAAGTGAGGACAAGTGATTAAAAATTTCCCAAGCTGAAGCATACATAAGTTTTGGTCCTTGATTCCACCCTGGATGCACTGTGGAGACTTTGGACCACTTACCTCACTGGTGTCTTACTCACTTCACCATTTCACTTCCAATAGGGGTCCAATCACCACATTGCCACCATAAGCACACAGCCCTGAATGTACCTAGCTGAACGAAACATCTGGGGCTCTTAGCTCAATAGTAATTGTCCTGAAGTTAGGAACGGGTAACTCTGGATTCTAGGGATATGTGTTCTTGACTCAACTTCTTCCTTTTTTGCTGGCTAGGGGAGAAATGAGGATGTGGTATGTGAAAAGGATTCCCCAACAGTCAGTCCAGAGAGCCTGAGGGGGAGTGTTTGCTTGTTTTATGGTGGGATGGGAGGGGTACCTTAGGCAGGGACAGTCCAGTAGAAAATGTACTCCTTGATCTCAT